GCACAGGGGGAAGAGCCAGAGCAGCAGCTGCTCACCCAAAAAAAAATGCTGGTTCTGTTTAAAACAACCCCAAAAATCCAGGTTTTACTTCCTGGGGATGTTCCCAGCCTCGTTACAGAGGGATAGATTTACATCTGTACTTCTCATCCAGATGTTTCCAACTTTCCCAGCCCAGCTCAGTGCGAGGTTTCCTGGTCTGGCTGACTCGGCACCAATTGTTCCCTAATTATGGAGTGGCTTTGAGAGGGACAACAGAGAAGTGACTTCTCTAAAGGAAATTCCGTGGTATTTCTGCTGCCTTTAACACGATCTCCAGGCTCTCTGAACTGCAAGGCATGGAATATTTTCCTTCTCCTCATTAGAATTTGCATGCTCAGCCGTGGCAGTGATGCCACCATTCCCAAGGAAAGGCAGGAGACCTGGAACAGCCTGCTGGGATCAAACCCCCTGCACTGCTGTCCTTACAGGGATTTTCAGGGAATAACCACTCAGGTTATTCCCTAAAGGAAGTTTTGGAGTTAGAAACCCTGGTTTGGGCACTGCTCCCTCCTGTACAGGCAGGGATTGCTGCGGTTCAGAACAATTCCCAGCATCCTGGGAAGAGGTGGAGCAGGAGAAGGGAATGGGTTTTGAAGGATCCAGGTTGCATTAGGAGGGCTGCATCCTGCAATTCCTGTATTCCCCATCCCTGGAAGTGTCCCAGGCCAGGCTGGACAGGGCTTGGAGCAGCCTGGGACAGTGGAAGGTGTCCCCATGGCACAGGGTGGGACTGGATGGGCTTTAAGATCCTTCCAATCCAAACCATTCCACGATCCCTAATTTCTGTGCAGGAGCTGGCACAGCTCCCCTCATTCCCCACCTCATTCCCAAACCACACCTGAGGATGGAGGCGCAGGTTATCCCAGAGAAGAAGCCACCAACACCAAGGAACCGCCCAACTCCCACCTCACCCCCAGGATTCCTCCAGGAGCAAACCCCCATCCCCTTCCTGGGTGACTCCAAAGACCCCCAGTGTGAGATCTCAGCATCTGAGTCTTGAGATGCTGAGCCACCGAGACCACCCTAGGTACATGAAGGTTTAGAGAAGTAAGATGGAAGAATTGAGGCGTGTCCTGTCCTTCTTCTTCTTCTTCTTCTCCTCCATCTTCTTTAGTGATGGTAGCACTTTTAGATTAGTTATTACTAAAAGTGCACCAAGCAATAAGAATAAATAGTATTAGAGAAAAATAATAAATATTGTACACGTAACCATAGGTATAAAGATA